AACTCGGATTTGTATGTGGGTGATGAATACGAGGCGGTTAAGTCGAGTGGGTTGTTTTTAGTTGTTTTTTACTATTATTTATTATTGTTATTGTTATTTATTATTGTTATTTATATTATTATTATTATTATTATTATTGTTATTATTATTATTGTTATTATTGTTATTGTTAGTAGTAGTAGTTGTTGTTGTTGTATTATTATTGTTGGTGTTGTTAGCGCGCGTGCGGTTTGTGGGCGGGGTCTGCGTGAAAACAAGCGACAGTGAGCCGCTACGCCTAGAGGACCACCCACGCAGTATACTGCGTAGGCGTAGTGTGCGTGGGAGTATTTTAATAAAAATGTTTTACAATAATAATGATATATAATAAATAATGATATATAATAAATAATAGTAATGTATAATCAATAATATAGAATATAATAGTAATAAATAATATATAATAAATAATAGTATATAATAATAAAATAAAAAAATAATCAGAAGAGCGATTTGGCGTCAGCCATCGATTGTTCGAATCAGCGCCGTTGCAGTGGGGCGAATGGCCGAAGAGCACCTTTAAGTGGTGGCCGGTGGTATTTAACGAGTATAATTTATCGCTGAGCGGTCATTACGTCACGTTCCTGCCGCCGATCGTGCTGAATGCTAATGTTATTGATTGTTTTTATTTATTATTATTATTATTTATTATTATTTATTATTGCTGTTTATTAATATTTATTGATATTTATTATTATTGTTTATCACTATTATTATTATTTATTACTATTATTATTATTGCATTTATTCAGATACCTCATAACGATCCAAGTATCACATATAATGGCGATGGTTTGAATGGTGATAATGGGAATAATAATGATAATAATGGTGATAGTGATAATGATAATAAAGATAAAAATAATAATAATAAATTAAATTTGGAAGATTCATCGAAGTCGATTGCGTACGATACAATTGAAACGTTGTTGAAGTGGGTTTTAGTGGTGGTTTTGTTTGTTTTATTGTTGTTATTTGTTATTATTGTTATTGTGGATATTATGTTTATTATTATTGTTATTTTTAGTATTATTATTATTATCATTATTATT